CAAGCATACTAAGCAAAGGTGGGTAGTAGCTAGCAGTGGAATCCAGTTTGACGCGCGTTTCGTCTTATTTGGTACTCGTTAGCTGGATGTATCTGCATCTTAAGTGGCCATCAGGACTCAGTAGCTAAGTAGATAACGCGATGGCGTTTGAAGCGAACGGTACTGGGTTCGAGTCTCCATCTGACGAGTCCCAATTAAGATGAATCGCGTGTCAAACTGGATTCCACTGCTACTCACTATACATCCTCGCTTAGATTGGATAAAGCTTTTATGGAGTTATTAATCAATATTCTTGAAAATTTAGACCCATAATTTGAACCAAATTTGTCTATTATTCATGTTTATTTGAAATTATAGACAATGGGTGAAGCAACTATAAATCATTCACTGTGATACAAATTCATTCATTTTATTAATCTTCCCTTTTCATTGAAATTAATTCTGTCATTTCATGCTTCAAATACATAACTTTCATTTGCTCATTATAAAAAATACAGTTGAATATTTTCTATCATCGACATAATTATTTAAACTTCTCAATATATCTCATCTGTTTAAATGTATATCATTTTAACATTATGATATTAGTATAATATATATAATATATACATGTATATAATATATATAATAATATAATGTAATAATAATATATATTATAATATAATATATATAATATATATAATATAATATAATATAATATAATATAATGTAATATAATATAATATAATATATAATATTCATGTCCTCTGCTTACATGCTTGAGCTTGCATCATGTCAGTAACTTATGAATACTGACGAGCCTTGTACTTTATTGCTTGGCGTATACTAATATCGGTTATTGTACACTTTTATTCTTGTTGCTATCTGTAGCTTGTTTGGTAAGTTCTATGAGACATTCATTATAACTGGATCGGACCTGAAATGCTAAAAGGGCAGAACAATTTGTAAGTGCTAAATATATTTATCACTTTCTTTACAGACAACGATTTTATTCGCCATTTTAAGCTGTTTATGTAAAATGGCGAGTACTGATCACGGTAGAGTATTCTTGTAATTCCTTAATAAATGCGTAGATAGAACAGAGCTTAGTATTGACCCCATTGTTACACATCGATTTGTCTATAGAACTGGTTATTGAAACGAAGCTAAAAGGTCCTTTCAGAACAAAAACTACCATTGAAAATTAAAGGCTAAATAATACCAATAGGATCATTAGCTATTGAAGTGCTTGTATTTATGTGAATACACTGTCAATATACATGTAGATAAGATCATTAAACATTTTTCATTTGTTGAAAGTAGGAAGTTTAAACAAAAATAAATTGAATTAATTATTCAATATTGTTTTGAAAAATACAAATTCAGAATAATAACATTGGTCAATAACGTATAGAAGGTAGTATAAAATTATTTGTTCTACACTCCCTTGAGATAAAACTCACTGAATGAAACTTAACTATCTACACTTGCTCTCACACGCCATGTTATATAGGGATACTACCCCTAACTCAGTCAGTCAGTGTCTGCAAAGTCGGAGAAATGAAAATTTCACAAATGCGATAAAAATGATCTTGGTGGTCTTGTATTACTATTCGGACACCACACTGTTGTGTCGGCGACCGATCTTCAAATGTCTGCCCTATCAATTTGTTGGTAAGTGATTTCACTATTTACACCTGCTCTTACTCGCCATGTTATATAGGGATACTACCCCTAACTCAGTCAGTCAGTGTCTGCAAAGTCGGAGAAATGAAAATTTCACAAATGCGATAAAAATGATCTTGGTGGTCTTGTATTACTATTCGGACACCACACTGTTGTGTCGGCGACCGATCTTCAAATGTCTGCCCTATCAATTTGTTGGTAAGTGATTTCACTATTTACACCTGCTCTTACTCGCCATGTTATATAGGGATACTACCCCTAACTCAGTCAGTCAGTGTCTGCAAAGTCGGAGAAATGAAAATTTCACAAATGCGATAAAAATGATCTTGGTGGTCTTGTATTACTATTCCGACACCACACTGTTGTGTCGGCGACCGATCTTCAAATGTCTGCCCTATCAATTTGTTGGTAAGTGATTTCACTATTTACACCTGCTCTTACTCGCCATGTTATATAGGGATACTACCCCTAACTCAGTCAGTCAGTGTCTGCAAAGTCGGAGAAATGAAAATTTCACAAATGCGATAAAAATGATCTTGGTGGTCTTGTATTACTATTCGGACACCACACTGTTGTGTCGGCGACCGATCTTCAAATGTCTGCCCTATCAATTTGTTGGTAAGTGATTTCACTATTTACACCTGCTCTTACTCGCCATGTTATATAGGGATACTACCCCTAACTCAGTCAGTCAGTGTCTGCAAAGTCGGAGAAATGAAAATTTCACAAATGCGATAAAAATGATCTTGGTGGTCTTGTATTACTATTCGGACACCACACTGTTGTGTCGGCGACCGATCTTCAAATGTCTGCCCTATCAATTTGTTGGTAAGTGATTTCACTATTTACACCTGCTCTTACTCGCCATGTTATATAGGGATACTACCCCTAACTCAGTCAGTCAGTGTCTGCAAAGTCGGAGAAATGAAAATTTCACAAATGCGATAAAAATGATCTTGGTGGTCTTGTATTACTATTCGGACACCACACTGTTGTGTCGGCGACCGATCTTCAAATGTCTGCCCTATCAATTTGTTGGTAAGTGATTTCACTATTTACACCTGCTCTTACTCGCCATGTTATATAGGGATACTACCCCTAACTCAGTCAGTCAGTGTCTGCAAAGTCGGAGAAATGAAAATTTCACAAATGCGATAAAAATGATCTTGGTGGTCTTGTATTACTATTCGGACACCACACTGTTGTGTCGGCGACCGATCTTCAAATGTCTGCCCTATCAATTTGTTGGTAAGTGATTTCACTATTTACACCTGCTCTTACTCGCCATGTTATATAGGGATACTACCCCTAACTCAGTCAGTCAGTGTCTGCAAAGTCGGAGAAATGAAAATTTCACAAATGCGATAAAAATGATCTTGGTGGTCTTGTATTACTATTCGGACACCACACTGTTGTGTCGGCGACCGATCTTCAAATGTCTGCCCTATCAATTTGTTGGTAAGTGATTTCACTATTTACACCTGCTCTTACTCGCCATGTTATATAGGGATACTACCCCTAACTCAGTCAGTCAGTGTCTGCAAAGTCGGAGAAATGAAAATTTCACAAATGCGATAAAAATGATCTTGGTGGTCTTGTATTACTATTCGGACACCACACTGTTGTGTCGGCGACCGATCTTCAAATGTCTGCCCTATCAATTTGTTGGTAAGTGATTTCACTATTTACACCTGCTCTTACTCGCCATGTTATATAGGGATACTACCCCTAACTCAGTCAGTCAGTGTCTGCAAAGTCGGAGAAATGAAAATTTCACAAATGCGATAAAAATGATCTTGGTGGTCTTGTATTACTATTCGGACACCACACTGTTGTGTCGGCGACCGATCTTCAAATGTCTGCCCTATCAATTTGTTGGTAAGTGATTTCACTATTTACACCTGCTCTTACTCGCCATGTTATATAGGGATACTACCCCTAACTCAGTCAGTCAGTGTCTGCAAAGTCGGAGAAATGAAAATTTCACAAATGCGATAAAAATGATCTTGGTGGTCTTGTATTACTATTCGGACACCACACTGTTGTGTCGGCGACCGATCTTCAAATGTCTGCCCTATCAATTTGTTGGTAAGTGATTTCACTATTTACACCTGCTCTTACTCGCCATGTTATATAGGGATACTACCCCTAACTCAGTCAGTCAGTGTCTGCAAAGTCGGAGAAATGAAAATTTCACAAATGCGATAAAAATGATCTTGGTGGTCTTGTATTACTATTCGGACACCACACTGTTGTGTCGGCGACCGATCTTCAAATGTCTGCCCTATCAATTTGTTGGTAAGTGATTTCACTAGTTACACCTGCTCTTACTCGCCATGTTATATAGGGATACTACCCCTAACTCAGTCAGTCAGTGTCTGCAAAGTCGGAGAAATGAAAATTTCACAAATGCGATAAAAATGATCTTGGTGGTCTTGTATTACTATTCGGACACCACACTGTTGTGTCGGCGACCGATCTTCAAATGTCTGCCCTATCAATTTGTTGGTAAGTGATTTCACTATTTACACCTGCTCTTACTCGCCATGTTATATAGGGATACTACCCCTAACTCAGTCAGTCAGTGTCTGCAAAGTCGGAGAAATGAAAATTTCACAAATGCGATAAAAATGATCTTGGTGGTCTTGTATTACTATTCGGACACCACACTGTTGTGTCGGCGACCGATCTTCAAATGTCTGCCCTATCAATTTGTTGGTAAGTGATTTCACTATTTACACCTGCTCTTACTCGCCATGTTATATAGGGATACTACCCCTAACTCAGTCAGTCAGTGTCTGCAAAGTCGGAGAAATGAAAATTTCACAAATGCGATAAAAATGATCTTGGTGGTCTTGTATTACTATTCGGACACCACACTGTTGTGTCGGCGACCGATCTTCAAATGTCTGCCCTATCAATTTGTTGGTAAGTGATTTCACTATTTACACCTGCTCTTACTCGCCATGTTATATAGGGATACTACCCCTAACTCAGTCAGTCAGTGTCTGCAAAGTCGGAGAAATGAAAATTTCACAAATGCGATAAAAATGATCTTGGTGGTCTTGTATTACTATTCGGACACCACACTGTTGTGTCGGCGACCGATCTTCAAATGTCTGCCCTATCAATTTGTTGGTAAGTGATTTCACTAGTTACACCTGCTCTTACTCGCCATGTTATATAGGGATACTACCCCTAACTCAGTCAGTCAGTGTCTGCAAAGTCGGAGAAATGAAAATTTCACAAATGCGATAAAAATGATCTTGGTGGTCTTGTATTACTATTCGGACACCACACTGTTGTGTCGGCGACCGATCTTCAAATGTCTGCCCTATCAATTTGTTGGTAAGTGATTTCACTATTTACACCTGCTCTTACTCGCCATGTTATATAGGGATACTACCCCTAACTTACTCGCCATGTTATATATTCAAATGTCTGCCCTATCAATTTGTTGGTAAGTGATTTCACTATTTACACCTGCTCTTACTCGCCATGTTATATAGGGATACTACCCGTAACTCAGTCAGTTAAGGAATTGATAATTCCTTGAAAACGCTTGAACCAGATTGCCTAGCAAAACGTTGGATGTTATTTAAAAATTCATTCGCTGAGGTTTTGCGAATATATTGTTCCTATTTGATGTCTTACTTCTACTCGGTGCTCAAATACTGTGAAACTATTCGTTCTAATTTAGGCGAGAATTCTTATATAAACTCTCATAAGCATTAAAATTGATGGAATGTGATTAAGGTTTTTAAAAAAATAAATTCCTTCAAAATTAATTAAAATAGAATTGGAAGTAAATGGTAAGCCATTTTCTCTACATTCAGAGCAAGCGTATATTGACTTTTCAGGCTTACTCTTAGGGTTCATAATTGATTTGTTTTTGTTACATAGTTCTTTTTTTCTTCCCTTCAGTATTATTCTCGTGAATCACTATTAGAGGATTTGATGATTCAGCCCATATTATTCAAATAAATGACATTATTAGCTCGAAGAGATGATATCATGTATTATTAGAACGAAGATTGAACTTTAGACTAAATTGAAGTAACCACTTAACTCACATCGGTCAGTGACATTGATACTGTAGGCTTGAAGCATTAGGATAGAGCATTCAGAGTTTAAATGTTCACGAGGAATAAAGATTTTTTTCATTCTTTTTGACCTCATCAATAATGTGAGTAACATATAGTGATTTCGGGATTGCCAAAACTTAGAATATTATGACATTCAAAACACTCAAAGCACGTATATAGTAGTTAAAGTTAACTCTGACTTCGTTGTAGTCTCCGAGTTCAGTAAATATTAGAATACTGAGTTCAATAGTTCAAGAATGAGTTTCCATTTTGTATCTATGTCTGGACTAATTCTCTTTCATTACTTTTACATATGTCTACGCTAACAGAATTCCAGTTACTTTTGTTTAAAGCAAATCTCGCTTGTTCATTTATCGAAGTAAAAATCATAGATTATTAACCGAATCCAGAATACATTGAAACCTGACTCAATAGGAGATGTGACTGAGTTATTTTCGGATTACAATATTATAATTATAGTATCTATACCAAAAACTCAACATTTATGGTGGCCTTTGGGTTACAATATCCTTATCAGATATAAAAAATTGATTCAAACGTGTATCTAACAGTGTATTTTCTGACAATTATTCCCACAATTAACTAAAAAACTATCACTGAACGGTTTAATATTGTAACATCTCAGTAATTCACACCAAGGAACTTGCACAGACACGAACATGCAATCCATGAGCATTATGATAAACTGTCATTCTTCCATGATCCCATTATCAAATTTTCAAAGACGGTAATTTGGTTGTTCAAGCATCCTTTCAATGTTTGTAATCATTTTATTTTTAATTATAAGTGGGTATTAACTTCACCTTTGAAACCAATACAAAATAATAGGAAAAAGCTTTTCCAACTACAAAGAAAGGCGAATAGCTGGAGCTGAACCGGTTTCGATAAATTCAGGTACTTACTTAAGTGATATTGTTTTCTGAAAGCTTACTTGGCAGGAATAATGTGATTTCACTGGTTTTACTATCATCGGGGTCTATGGTTAAGTAATAAGAAATAAATCACTCAAATTATCAGGATACAAATAGCTTCCAAGTTTGAATTCACAAATAGACCATTTGTCAGCCAAAAACCAGCATCATTACAAGTAATAAGTGTTATTACATTAGGAATCATTACTTAGAATGACCATAATCACAATCAAATAGGGCAATAAAATAATGCGAGTTACGCCCAACTACACTTCGGTAATTCGATTTCGTAAAATGTCTACAAACCTCGATATCAACCAGTAATATTGATATATTTTTTCTAATCATTCTGATAAAGAGTCACTTTTTAAATATGGCGATTGGTTTGTGTTTTTGCTCAACTCGAGTATTCAATTTATGTCTCATGTTGTCATCATTAACCTAAGTGACAAATTAGATTCATTTCACATACGACCAATGTATGAACGTTACTTGCTAACATACCAATAAGTTCTTTAGGCATGATTTGATGGAATAAATATTTTAATCTTCCAAATGTTTAGTGTCTAACTCCACTTCATTAGTGTAATGGGAATTCAGTTGTTTAATACGTAACTGAAAGACCAAATACTGTTAATACTGTTAATTGATTGTAGATTGCATTCCTTTAACTAGTTTATTTTTATTTCAAATTTTGTCCGTTGACATTTCTCTAGAACAGTTAACATTGAACTTAACTAGGTTCTTTTTTGTTGAGTAGTTTTTAGTGTTTCCTCCATGGAATCACATGCGTTCAATTTTGATGGAATTTGGAATTCCAATTCATTCACCAATCCCAGTTTCACTTCTGCTGGTTCGACTTAAGAGTGTTTGATGCTTATAAAAAAGTACATGCTGAACTGTTCCCAATATGTTGATCATTTCGCTTAAAAGTTACATGGGTACAGAAACTCAACTCTCATCCTAATTGACTAAGATCGAAAAAGTCATTGTTGTTAGGTTATTCTAATGGCGGTTTCGACTGTAACAGAGATTACGTTGGTTACAACAGAAATTTGCTGATTGATACCAATCTATAAAACGATCAATTTTACATCATTTTTTTTGAGTTTCATGTCAATTTGTTCTTGAACCGTTCAATGTTGAACTGCCATTGAAAACCTTAGCTGTTTTCTCTTAAAACGTGATTCCTCAACAGTGCGCATCCCGCTTGCAGGACCATTGATGCTCACTGCTGAGAATTCAAAATTCAGGACCGAATGGCTTTCCTGTGCTTTAAGGTTTTCAATGGTTGTCTAACATTTGTCAATTCATAACCTCAATCAAAATGAAATTTAAACTTGTGATCAATAATAACCAGCTATCACATAACTCATACTTTTCATGCGAAATTAACTGTATTTGAGTAATTCTAATGGCAATCAGATTCTAGAAGAATGTTATCAATCGTATCCATGGTTATCAATGAAATATTTTTTTGAAGCAAATAAACCGACATCTTATCGTTTCTATCTCGGCTCGTCCAGAACCAACATATGGCGACATGGAATAACATATATCTGAATATTAGAAGGTAGATGACAAGCATAAATTTTCTATTACCATGATGACAACTAACATCAAAAGGTGAACTTACAATGATCAAAACGATTTGTTGATTGTTTTTTGTTTATTTAACATTAACTCTTTGATACAGATATATCTACATCTAAAATAGAGAGAAATGAGCGCTTTACGTTACACTGCTACCCTCCATTCATCTCTGCTTATCAAGCCTGTTATATACTCTCTTTGTCGAGACAATTTGCACAGTATGCACATATTCCAAAACAGACTAACCGATTGCAATTCTAGGCATCAGTGGTAAGATTTGACTAATATTAATAAATTATCATCAATCTACTTTCTTGCGGCTTTCAATTTAACCTTCGCATACAGAAGGAAAAAATGGCAATCCTCTCATTTCCATTGTAATATAGCTGTCTTATATTATTTTAACGTTAGTTAATTACATTATCTCTTTAATGCATAAATGAAAACTCCCAATGACATTCACTCGGGATGCTAACTTTTATTCTTTGTCAAATACATACCTTGATTATTACTTATTTATTAGCCATTTATGTTTATTTATTATCAGAAGGGGATTTGTGGAGATTTCAGTATATTTCAAAGTTGAAATCATGAGTCAATTGAAGCTAGACCACCATCGAAAACCTGGAAGCACTGGACGGCCGTTTCGTCCTACTATGGGACTCCTCAGCAGTGCGCATCCACGAACCCACTCTCGCGAGCGATATTCGAACCCAGGACCTACCAGTTACAAGCCAGAGCCCTTAACCGATCATATGCTCACTAGTGACTGACTTCAAGATACATGTCCTGGAGTTCTAGTGGGAAGCAGTGACCAGTGGAGTTCAACCACGTCTGTTGTGAGATAACAACTCACTGAAGGCAATTGGTGAAGTGTCGCTCATAATTCGTGGATCAGTTGAAGTTAGACATTAACACCGTTGGATGCCGGCTCAGTGGTTTATTTATTACCTATTTATTATGATTGATAACTTCCCTTCCATATTTTCATGACTTTATATTCAACATAAAGATCTAAAGTGATCTTACCCATTATGTTGAAGAAGTTGTTTCCCCTTCTTATTTCTTATCCTAGTTCAAACTAAACTCCACTGATTACTGTATGTAAACGAATTTTTTAGAGTAATAATGTAAATTCAAGTCGTTTCCAACTGATGAGAACCTTTGAAATATAATGAATCCATGTTATTCAGTATATCTTGTCTTTCTAGCGTTACTTTAATTTAACAAGAGATCAGAATCACAATTGATTGATCACTGGGTGGTGATCAATGTCATGCGTGTCAAGTCCTTCTTAGTGCTGATCGAATGCTATCGATCACGTTGCAATGTGGCCACCAGTCTAGGTTGCTCGACACTGCTTGCACTATATATATTAAGGTAAGATGGTGGTTGGAGGTGGTCAAGATTACAGGTACACCTTGCTGACGAGTGCCAAGAAGCACGAAACCCGAGTCCAGGGTTCCCTGTTGACCACCTCCAACCACCATCTTACCTCAATAAGAGATCAGAATATATGAAACATGGAAATTGTTTTATTTATTTATATTCATCACAACGTAGTAGATTCAAATCTTATGTAGAGAAAGTTAAATAGATGTTTTCTTTGTGCAATGAATGATAGTTTGATAAATTAAGTAATAAACCGTCTGGTTTTATACTAACTTTATATAAAATACATATACATTTTGAAAAGAACAACAAATAGCTTCGTGGGTTGAGATAACGCCATTGTATTTAGTGTAGTGTCATATCACATTTTATGATAATCATTTGTTGTCAAAGGGTTGTTACATGATTACATTGAATTTAAAGTCACTTGAAACCTGCTTTTTGGATTGATTAATGACCTATGTCTTGAAAATAGATTACTGTCATAGTTGAACAAATGAAGTGGATTTTGTCTATTGAGTAATACCTAAGTAAATTAATTAATCTTAATTGACAACTTCATTCAGTTAGAGAGAGCTAAAATTATACCGATCTAATAATTGTATCAATGTTAATTACTGTGACTTGTTGCTTTATTGTACGTCTAATTTCTTTCTTCTAAACATAAACATAATTGACTGAATACTTGCAAAATAAGTATTTACCTAGATGTAAAGTAAGTAGGACTATTCACGCTCAACCACAATCTTGATTTCGGAAAATATTCTGTACATAACAGATATGTTCATTTCCACAGAACATAAACTGTCTTCCTTATGTGCTGCGATATTTGAAATCATTGTTGTTAACTTTCAATTGTCTTCATTCTGAAAATCTATTTCGGTTCTTACATTTCTGGTCTTTTTTTTGTATTCGCACAGATATTGCAGGTCAAAATCTTTTATTGTTTTATGATTATTTGGTGAATGTTATTCGTCAAACAGACAAGGATACATTGATATTTTACGAGAGTGTAACTTATGGAATATTTTTTCCATTTGTCAATGGAATACCTGGTACTGGCATGCAACGTGTTCCTGGTCTATTACAAGATGAGATGGCCAGAAAGAAGAGTGTATTATCTTATCATTACTACTGTTGGCTATTGCAATCGACACCAGCTACAGAGCATATGCCATCATGGAAACCATATTTGTGTGATCAGGTGAGAGTTTCATTACCTGGTTTATTGTTTGTAGTGTATGTGCATTTTGAATATTTGATGCTTTAATAACAACAATAACCCACTGATATTTTGTAGCATTAGCTTACTGACTTGATTTTTGTTCGTAACTTGATAACCAGAGTGTCTGTAAAATTTTGAAATCCTTTGTCACCCTTATTAAATTATTTGATCTATATTCAGAACAACTACATTCAGTTAAGTTAAATGTCGAAGGATCGTTGACCGAAAGTATTTTCATAATAAAATATTACTTACATTATACACCATGTCCTCACATTAACCAAACAACTAAAAACTACTCAGTAGTGCGTGCTTGCAACACTACCCGAAATCAAAACTGAAGCTTCAATAGGTCTTAGCGAGTGATTTTTCAGATCAGTAGTTTGACATTCGACGATTGCTATTTTTTGATTTCCCTACTTTATATCAAACTTGAAATTTAATTACCTAGAATTTATTTACTTGGAATTGATTGAAAAACATCCATTGACTTGCTCATGTTTATCAATTACCATTAACCTAATTATTTATTTTTTCACCATGGAAATACTCTCAGTAAGCAATATGATGAATAACTTGGCAAAATTGTTAGAACCATAGTGTATTTTGTAATTGATTAAAACAAGTCAAATAAGATGAGAAATTTCTACATTCCTTCTATAAATTAGTAACATTTATGATTTATATGAATCATCGTAACTGGCAAACGTTATAGCAATGGGTGTGTCTGAAATTGGGCGTAGATGAATAAACAACACTGACGAATAATTCTATAAAGCCATGATAACTATCTGTCATCTTAGTATTCTTAAGATATAGTCAAATAGTCAAACTAACAGTGGAAGTGGAAATAGAAGTATTGGATTAATATGTATTTTATGTTAGATTTCAAAGTAAGAACATTTGTTTTGTAGGTTTCATTAATCTCATTGACCTATTGAAACCTATTCACAAACACCATAGGATATTGCATACAAATGTACATATGTTGTTTGTTGACAAAATCCCTAGTTTATGAATTCAAGTGGAATTCTAATTTGATTATTGCAACGACAGGTCCAAATCCATTCTGTTATTCACACCAACTTGTAAGATATTGATTGTTAAAAACAAAATTGACAAACAAATTATTTTGTTTAGTTCGAGCTCCAATTTGTGGTCTGCATATACAGAATGTATAATGTTAGACGAAGCCGTGAATATTTCATTAAAAATACAAATGATAGTTGCAACTGATATGGATAAATGTTTAATGTGTCCTTAATAAATGATGAACTGATTAGGGTGAACGCATCATCGAAAAATAAACTGAACTTAATAAAAGTACTGTAGAGTAATCTAGGAACGAAAATATAAACACTATGTTTTGATATGCAAATTGTGACAACTAGTAATAGGCGCTATTCATTTCCATCATACGTAACTATAAAAAGTGTTATTCACACTAATGTAAGTCGTTTGAGTTGATTCAACGAATACGTGGATTCTGACTCAATGATGTGATGCATTCCATCATTTGTGATACACATAATCGAATAACAGTTTGCTGTTATCGTAACACATCAACTAAGAATTACAATGTTCGAATGAATTTTCTTCACAAATGAACATCAGTTACATATCTATTGTTCAGGTTCAACAATTGTGAACGCGAGAACATTGTCAATAAACTTATATGGTGAATCATATAGGCTTATGCAGGATTTCTGGTAAATGTGATATTTAGTCAGTTAGACATAATGGCCATTGCTTGACAAGATGCCACTTTTTGGTATTACTTCATTTCCTTCTTATTAAACTGATAATTAGATGTTGTTTGGATTGTTAAGAAATGACTGATTTTGTGATTTGTAGAATGATCTTCTTTCCTAGAGAGTTACTTTGTAATCAAACCACAGAATTCGAAATCACTCAATTTTTCCGTACTCGGTCATGTAAGTACTTGTGAACATAAATATAATGATAATCATTTGAAGATGGAGAATACTGAACGTCTGTTGGTTTTTGCAATTCTTCATAACTAAGTCATAAATGTAATGAATGATAGGTCAATGAACAAAATGGATGATGTGTTATTGCTTTGACACTGTGTATGCGGTTTGTTGTAGTCTAGTTGCATTGCGGAAATCATTCACATACTTATCAATGTTGACATTTTTATTGCTTGTGTTTAGCTTCTCTTGAATTAGGCATTCAAAAATGTGAAAAGTATAGTTCAATCCACTGGTGGCGGACGGTTTTTAACAGAATTCGGTCTGTGTCTTCCTGATGGTAATCCAGATTCAATAAATACGGTTGAATGTAATGCTGTGCTGAATGCAGCAGACAGGAACTTCGAATCATGGACGTAATGGGACGGATATGAATTATTTTCTAACTTAAATGTAGAAAACATTTCCAAAGGTTTTGTAATTGATAATATATTTTTTGACTTTATGTCAAATTTCTTATTGAAGTCATTATGTTCTGTACGGTGGGGAAATTTATAATTTTCATTCCGAACAGTGTCATCAGTATAATTAGAACAACATATATAAGCGAACAATATTGTTTTCAATTAGATCATCATCAGGTTTTACTCTAATATACATGAATATTTATATGAAAATGTTAGACCAATCACAAGGCTATTTGAGTCAATAATCACAATGAAATAGAATATGTAACCAAGCATAATAATAGTTAAAATTACAAGTTGATAGTGGGAAGATAGGTGTACTGATAGTAGTAAGAATATTAAATTACGATAACAAAAGTCTTATCAATAATTAAACATAAGAAATAAGAATTCATTATATGTGAAAAAAGTTATAATTGAAATAGTCATAGCGATTGAACTATAAATAATTCCAACGTTTCGTCCAGCTAACTTGTCTAGACTTCTTCAGGGAAATAATCAAAATCAAAATCATCAAAGAAATATGCAGTGTTTTTTGCTTAACAATCATATCATCAAAATTTCTTCTACAACCACTCTCGCTACCTTGGCCATCGGTATAGCGGACTTTGTAGCATAATTTCGGTAAACAATTATCTTATTCCTTCCATTTTTTATATCTTTTGTATTTTTGTAGTTTACTTATTCTCTTCATTCGTCTCTTAACTCTTACATAACTACTATATTACTGAACATTCATCAAAATATTTTATTAGTTCCTTCTTCTCCTGTTTTATATATTATGCAACGTAGCAACTGATTGATTTTCGAATAATAACTTTGATTAGAATTAAACCTTCTCTTCCAATTAATGTTAGTTTATATTCGATGCCATTACATAATTATTACGTAACGTATCTACTCCATGAGTGTTATTTAATTGTTGTAAATCATATGTATATTAATGTAGAGCCATGATGAAAAACTAATTGAAAAGAAATTTCTTCGCTCGATTCGTTCCTTTTAATATGAGTCAGTTGAATGAGAATCAAGTGAAAAGTTCAACAATGTAAAATAAAAGGAGACTGGATGAATTGTGTGTATGTATGTATGTGTAAGATGAGTTATTAATGAATGATATTCAGTGTTGATATGTTTCTATGTGAAGTAAAAATAAGAATAAAAGTGCAAAAATGAAGGTTGAAAAGTTTTTTTTTCTGAATCATCGGAATTGCAAATAAAATGAGAATCATCATCATGTACATAATTGTAATGCTAAACATAACTCATATTGATTTCAGTCATAATAACGATTCGTGTGAAGTAAACAGGTTGAATAAAAGAAGAAAAAGTCAAATTACTTGTTGATGAATATTTGCCAAATTGTAGCTAGCTGAATACCATCCTTTCTGTTTAGGCTGTTCTTATTCGCCCATAAATACAGCGCTTCTTCTGTCAATCTTTCTTTATGAGTGTTGAAACCTTTCTGAAGTATTTTGGCCCCTTCAAAATAAATCATGTGTCCCGTTTCCAATGCATGTAACGCTATTGCAGACTTATTCTCAAGTTTCCTTAAGTCAACCGAAGTTTTGGGAACATTTTTTAAAGATTGCTTGTGTTCCTTCAACCTTACCTTCAATTGTCTGGATGTTTCTCCAATAAAGCCGCATTACAATCATGACAATTGATCTCATAGACAATATTTTGATGTTCTTCCTTTGGCAACCTATCCTTAACCTTCACCAATGACGATCGTATAGTGTCACATGTTCTAAAGTACACTCTTATATCATACTTGTTTAAGATCCATTTGATTTCTTCCGATGTTTCACTACGGTATAGTATGACTACAGTGGACTTCCAATCTTTCTGTACACATTGTAGTTTAGCTTTTCTTTCCTTTCTAACAATCTTCTTTAAAAACTCTTTTGGGTAATTGTTATCCCCAAGTGTAGATAAAATCCTATTGAATTCATATTGTTGGTCTTCGTTATCTGTAACAAGCTTAAGACTTCTGTTAATTAAATTTTTAACAACCGTCACTTTCGTACATAAAGCATGAGCCGAATCAAAATCTAAGTATCTCTCTGAATGTGTTGATTTGCTGAAAACATTTATTTTCAACTTCCTATTATTAAGTCTTCGCTCAACCATACAGTCGAGAAATGCTAGTTTATGGTCAACAGACTCTATTTCCTTCGTTAGATTAATTTGTTCCGAAATGTTGTTCACATTTGTAAACAATTCTTCCAAATAGTCCTGTTTAATGATAACAAAAATGTCATCTTCATACCGTAGCCAGACCTTTGGTGGACAAATACTTCTTGTGATTGCACTAGTTTCGAGTGAATGCATGAATAAATTCGCAACAATCGGAGAAACTAGTGAACCCATAGCTATACCTTCTTTTTGTCTGTATAGATCTCCTCGAAATATGAATAAGGTGGACCTTAAACATAGTTCCAAACATTTTATAAACTCAGATGGATCTAACGGGCAACTTAAATTTAAATCCAAATCAGATTCTAAACAACCATAAATAATATCCGAAGCTCTGTTGTTAGGTACGTTAGTAAATAAGATTGAAACATCAAAACTTGCCATTACTTCATCCTCTTCTATGTCGATGGTATCAATAATATTTTTAAATTCCATAGAGTTTTTAATTCCATGATTAATCAGTTTTTCATACGGTTTTAGTATCCTAGCTAAGTATTTCGCTAGGTTGTAAGTTGGTGAATTTGTGAAATCGACCACTGGTCTTAGTGAAGTACTATCCTTGTGAATCTTCAGGAGTCCACAGAATCTACGAGGGTTACAACTTTTTGGATTTAGCAAAAACCATAATGGCGTTCCGAGTTTGACCTTTAACGAATGTAAGATTTCACTTGTTTCCTCCTTAAGTTTATTGAGCGTCGTTCTGCTTTTTTCATCTTTGATTAGTTCATACGGTCCCTCTTGTAGATGTTCCTTGGCTTTTCTCTCGTAGTCAATTTTGTTCATAATGACTGTAGTGTTAACTTTATCTGCTTTTGTAATGATAATTGTCTTATCATTTCTCAGTTGCTTCAATGCATGTAACTCATTTTTAGTCATATTAGATTTTTGTGATTTTTGACGTAATAACGCGGACATTATCTTATTCCTCAATTCATTCGCTGTTTCATTAGGAAGTATATTCAATGCTGGTCCAATTGCTGGTATAATATTGAAAGACGATAATTGTGGTCTATTTATATTGAAATTGAAACCCTTTTTAAGTAATGAAATTTCATGGGAGTTGAGAATTCTATCAGATAAATTAACTAACACTTTGTTAATATCTACTGTGTTCGATTTATCTCTAGTTTGTTTAACTTTGCTGCTTGACGCATGTTTCAACATTTTTTCGAACTTTCTAATCTGTCGTAGTTTTGATGATTGATGATAAAACTGTTCTCTGAGTTTGAAAAATTCTTTTATATTAGATCTTATTTCTTTCGGTGCGATAACTGACAGAATTTCATCGATATTCTTTACCCTTGAACGTAGTGACTCCAAATTCATAGTGGCTATGTGAATACGTTCCCTGATAAAAGTTCTAGTGGCTGTGATCGCCGCTTTGATTGAACGAATAGATTTGTCAGGAGATTTGACGAACAAAGATTTAGGAAAAACATTTTATTTTAAAAATCGTAGATTAAAAATTCTGTGATTGTACCAAATATGTATTTTCTTTGATAATTTAATTCGATTGAAAAATAATTTATACGAATGTTCGTCAAGGTTAGAAACATCGGAGGAAATCAAATGGATCTTAAACAAGTATGATATAAGAGTGTACTTTAGAACATGTGACACTATACGATCGTCATTGGTGAAGGTTAAGGATAGGTTGCCAAAGGAAGAACATCAAAATATTGTCTATGAGATCAATTGTCATGATTGTAATGCGGCTTTATTGGAGAAACATCCAGACAATTGAAGGTAAGGTTGAAGGAACACAAGCAATCTTTAAAAAATGTTCCCAAAACTTCGGTTGACTTAAGGAAACTTGAGAATAAGTCTGCAATAGCGTTACATGCATTGGAAACGGGACACATGATTTATTTTGAAGGGGCCAAAATACTTCAGAAAGGTTTCAACACTCATAAAGAAAGATTGACAGAAGAAGCGCTGTATTTATGGGCGAATAAGAACAGCCTAAACAGAAAGGATGGTATTCAGCTAGCTACAATTTGGCAAATATTCATCAACAAGTAATTTGACTTTTTCTTCTTTTATTCAACCTGTTTACTTCACACGAATCGTTATTATGACTGAAATCAATATGAGTTATGTTTAGCATTACAATTATGTACATGATGATGATTCTCATTTTATTTGCAATTTCGATGATTCAGAAAAAAAACTTTTCAACCTTCATTTTTGCACTTTTATTCTTATTTTTACTTCACATAGAAACATATCAACACTGAATATCATTCATTAATAACTCATCTTACACATACATACATACACACAATTCATCCAGTCTCCTTTTATTTTACATTGTTGAACTTTTCACTTGATTCTCATTCAACTGACTCATATTAAAAGGAACGAATCGAGCGAAGAAATTTCTTTTCAATTAGTTTTTCATCATGGCTCTACATTAATATACATATGATTTACAACAATTAAATAACACTCATGGAGTAGATACGTTACGTAATAATTATGTAATGACATCGAATATAAACTAACATTAATTGGAAGAGAAGGTTTAATTCTAATCAAAGTTATTATTCGAAAATCAATCAGTTGCTACGTTGCATAATATATAAAACAGGAGAAGAAGGAACTAATAAAATATTTTGATGAATGTTCAGTAATATAGTAGTTATGTAAGAGTTAAGAGACGAATGAAGAGAATAAGTAAACTACAAAAATACAAAAGATATAAAAAATGGAAGGAATAAGATAATTGTTTACCGAAATTATGCTACAAAGTCCGCTATACCGATGGCCAAGGTAGCGAGAGTGGTTGTAGAAGAAATTTTGA